TAGGCTACCTAGACATCTGTCTCTAGCTTTGCTAGTTACTAAAAACAATAGTGTCAAGAAACACCACAGATCCATGTACAGACATCTCCTTTCTCCAAAAATTCAGCCTGAGCATTTTTAATCACAGCGGCCCAGTGAGATGGGGCTGGGCCAAAGAGGGAATGTTATGTCATCACCAAAGACAAGCATGCCCCTCTGAAAGTGAGCTTGTTGCTTCAATGCTCTACCAGGGCAGCCCATGTGCAGAGCACAGCTGAAGAACTCTTAAATAAGAAAATAGCCCTGTATTTGTTCTGCGCAGTACAAGCAAATTTGCTTATGACTTGTCTCTGGTCTCTCCATAAATAGTATACCTGGGGCTGAGACAAAGGAGCCAGGGAAGTGTATTGTGCTTCTGTCTGTCTGCTGCTTGTGGCATTGTGTGTGTAGAGTGAGCTGATTATGGTGTGGTGTTTCGTGTAAATAGGTCGGTTTCACTTGTGTTGTGCAATATGTATAGTTATGGGCTGTAAAGAGTAAGATAGTGTGTGTATGGGGGGCATAGCTTGTATAGGGGCTGTAGTGTATGTGTGTTTAGGTGATGTAGTGTGTACAGGGAATCTACTGTGTGCATAGGGAATCCAGAGTGTGTTTGCCACGGGTGTGGTGTGTGAGGGGTGCAGTATGTGTGTGAGAAGTGCAGTATGTGTGTGAGGGGTGCAGTGGGTTTGTGTGTGGGATGCAATGTGTATTAATGAGAAAGTGCAATGTGTGTGTGTGTGAGGGGTGCAGTGTGTGTGTGTGTAGGTGCAATTTGTGTGTGAGAGGTGCAGTGTGTGGGAGGGTGCAATGTGTGTGAGGTGTGCAATGTGTGTGTGTGAGGGGTGAAATGTGTGGTAAGGATTTAATGTGTGTGTGGAGTGTAATTTATATGTGAGGGGTACAGTGTGAGTATGTGAGGGATGCAGTGCGTGTGTGTAAAGGGTGCAATGTTTATAAGTACTGGGAGGACTAAATTGAGTGTGTGGGGAATAAATATGCCCTTTTCAGTTATTATTTAATAAAAATATATATATAATTATAAACTTTATAGCCCACTCTCTTTTGTTCAGGAAGGAGGGACATTACAAACCCTGGTGGTCTGGTGGTGAGTAAACTCTAGCCTGCAGCTCCTATGGCATGAGTTCACTCTCGCAAAATTTGGTCAGAACGTTGCATAATAACTGTGCCTGAAGGAGGACTGCCTGGGTTGTAAGGCAGGTCCCCTGATTGCGAACAGGATCTACAGTAAGAAGGTAGGCTGGAGGGATCTTAGGCCATGCTATGCCGTGCTAACTGCATTGAGCCATCCTTTTGTAGGACAGCATAGCACGCCCTAACATCGGGAAGCAGGGCCGCCATCAGGGCATGACAACCGCAACGGTTGTCATGGGCCCGGCGGTCCTGGGGGGCCCGGACTGCTCAGGTCGTCCGGGCCCCACATTCAGTGGGTACATAATGGGTCGCAGGGGGTCCTGCGACCCGGTATGTACCCACAGGGCTGGCCAGCCTCTTTCTCCCGGGGCCCAGCACCCGTCACCCCAAGGCCCCCAGAGGCTGGCCCCGCTGGCACCCGCCATCTTCCGCCCGCATCAGCATACGCTGGGCGCCGGAGGGAGCTGGGAGGAGTGAAGCACTCAGAGTGCAGCCCCTAGCCGGGCCGTCGGCTCGGCTCACCGGTCGGGGTAAAATTAAATGGGAGGGGGGGAGGAATTAAATGGGAGGAAGGGGAGGGAGGAATGAAATGGGAGGGGGGGAAGAAATGAAATTTGAGGGAGGGGGGGAAGAAATTAAATTTATGGGAGGGGGGAAGGAAGGAAATTTGAGGGAGGGGAGAGGAAGGAAATTTGAGGGGAGGGGGGAAAGGAATTAAATTTGAGGGGGGAGGGGAGAGGAATTAAATTTGAGGGAGGGGGGGAAGAAATGAAATTTGAGAGGGAGAGGGCAGAGGAATTAAATTTGAGGGGAGGGTGAGGAGGGAAGGAAATTTGAGGGAGGGAGAGAGGAAGGAAATTTGAGGGACGGGAGAGAAGGAAATTTGAGGGGACGGGGAGAGGAAGGAAATTTGAGGGACGGGGAGAGGAAGGAAATTGGAGGGGGGAGAAAGAAATGAGAGGGAGGGGGAGAAGAAGGAAATTGAAGGGGGGAAGAAGGAAATTGGAGAGAGGGAGGGAGGGGGAGAAGAAGGAAATTGGAGGGAGAGGGGAGGAGAAGGAAATTGAAGGGGGAAGGGGGAGAGATTGACATCCATCACACACAATGCACCCCTTGCACACAGAAAAACACACAATGCATTACACACAGACACACGTACACAAGCAATGCATCTGTCAGGTATACCTAACATTCATGCTGCCGCCGGAACCCACTTCCGGGTTCACGGCGCTTAGCTCCGCCCCTTTTTTATGACGCGGTCTTTCCACGATACTTAGGAAGACCGCGCCAGATTCAAAGTGCTGGATTATTCACTCAGGTGCGGCAGTGAGATCAGCTGCTCTACTCGATGCTACCGGCTCCACTTCTCGGATTTCTACCTTCTCCTCTCCCAGACCTCGGCTTGTAAACGGATTTCTACCTTCTCCTCTCTCAGACCTCGGCTTGGACAAACGGACTTCCTTTCTCTCACTACTAAACTGCAGTTTGTTAAAAGAGACTCCTTCCTCTTCCTCCATTTGGGTGAATTAACCCTTCCAGTGCCAGAGTGCTTCTAAGTTAAGTAAATCTTTTGTCAAGGAAAGCAAGTCATATCAATTAATTATAGTATTTAATTTCTTTAAACTCTCTGTTGACAAATAAGGATTGCTGCTAAGGCTAAAACTTCATTATTAAAATTCAAGTTAGAACTAACTTGGCATTTTCCTGATTATTATTTAAAGATACAGTCCACTGATTTCACTCCAATATAATAGGAGGTGAAACTTACTGTTCCTGCCCTCAGAAAATTCTGCAGTTGAGTTCCAATTAAAGAGGTATTACACAAAAGCATCACAGAATAATCCAGCCCATTTCAATGGAACCAGCAGATATTAACTCACAAGTTTCTGCCCTAACCAATAGAGTGGATACGATTGCTCAAGGGTTACAGGAACTGCAAATCACGAATGAGAGAATATTAACCTATGTTAGAGACATGCAAGGCCATCTTCCTCATGCCGCTCTTCAATCGGCTGGTGATCCTGCTGTCTGTAATCCAGAAAAATCTTATGGAGATAGAACAAAGTACAGAGAGTTTTTGAATTCTTGCAAACTTCTGATAGCTTTAAAACCTAGATCTTATCTCACTGAAAGATCAAAAGTTTGTTCAGTAATTTCTTTTTTAAGAGGTGAACCTATGGCATGGGCTCATTCCTTTTTAGAGAATGATGATCCCATATTAGATTCATTGGATGAATTCTTTGAAGCTATGTCTTTATTATATGAAGATCCTTATAAACAGGCTACTGCTGATTTAAACATCAGAACTCTCCACCAAAAGAACAGACCTGTTGAAGATTATATTGTAGAATTTAAAAGATGGGCTACAGAAACCCAATGGAATGACATCACTCTACGCAATCAATTCCGTCTCGGATTATCAGAAGCTGTGAAAGATGAACTCTCTCGTACTGAACTTCCTCCCACCCTAAATGCATTGATTCAACTTTCCATTAGTATTGACATACGTCTAAGAGAAAGAAGGGCAGAAAAAGTTCTTACTACTTCTAACTGGAGAAAACATTTTACTACTCCAAAAATTCCTGAAAAATCTCTTCCTCACAATGAACCTATTGAAGTTGGTATAATAAGAAGCCCTCTTACTTCGGAAGAAAGGATAAGAAGGAGACAACTAAATTTGTGCATGTATTGTGCTTCAAAAGAACATCTAATCCCAGAATGTCCCCTACTAATCCATTCGAAAGCTGTGGGATACAAAAAGAATCGTGACTGAAGCCATTATTGATTCTGGTGCTAATGGAACCTTCCTTGATTTTTCTTTTGTTGCAAAGAATAAAATTCCGTGTGTTCGAAAAACCAATTTTATTCCAATCAGAGTTATTGATGGTTCATTTATATCCTCAGGACCCATAAAAGATGAGACAATTCCTCTAAGAATGATTACCAATAACGTACATACAGAATTCCTTACATTTGATGTTATTAAATCTCCACTTTATCCCGTCATTCTAGGAATTAATTGGTTAAAAACTCATGATCCTTTAATTAAATGGTCACCCTTTTCCATTTCTTTTCCTTCTGACTTTTGCAAAAAAACCTGCTTCCAACATATTCCTATTCTCCAAACTACTCAGGAATCAATTATACCTCCATTCTACTCTGACTTTTCAGATGTCTTTTGTAAAAAAGAAGCGGAAACACTTCCACCTCATCGAGCACATGATTGCCCAATAGATCTAATACCTGGTGCTCCCATTCCTTATGGACACATTTATCCACTTTCTGAAAAGGAATTGCAGACCTTAAAAGAATATCTTAATGAAAATTTACGTAAAGGATTCATCAGACCCTCGACTTCACCGGCTGCCTCTAGTATATTTTTTGTGAGGAATAAGGACCAAACCATCCGACCCATTATAGATTACAGAGCCTTAAATAAAATAACCATAAAAAATCGTTATCCTCTTCCACTAATAAATGAATTAATTGAAAGGTTAAGAACTGCAACTATATTCACTAAACTCGACCTCCGAGGCGCATATAACCTCATTAGAATAAAACAGGATGATGAATGGAAGACCGCCTTCCGGACTAGATATGGTCTCTACGAATATCTAGTGATGCCTTTTGGGCTTTGTAATGCCCCTGCAACATTCCAACATTTTATAAATGATATCTTTAGAGATCTTTTGGATGTTTGTGTTATTATCTACTTAGATGATATTCTAATATATTCTAACAATTTGGATGAACATAGGAAGCATGTAAGATGGGTTCTATCTAGATTGAGAACTCACAAATTATACGCTAAACCAGAGAAATGTCTTTTTGAAGTTACTGAACTCTCCTTTCTTGGATACATTATTTCACCTCATTCTCTGAAAATGGATAACTCTAAAATCGAATGTATTATTAACTGGCCCGTTCCTACTACTACAAAAGAATTGCAACGATTTCTTGGATTTGCAAACTTCTATAGAAAATTCATTAGAAACTACTCAGAGGTATCACATCCACTTAACCACCTTAACAGTACTAAACGTCCTTTCAAATGGAATAAAGATGCACAAGCTGCCTTCGACAGTTTAAAAAAAAGATTTACAACTGCACCTATTCTACAGCTACCTAATCCAACATTCTTGTATGTCCTAGAAGTCGATGCATCAGATTCAGCTATCGGAGCAGTTCTTTCTCAGCAAAAGACTCCTCAAGATCCACTTCATCCAGTCGCATTCTTTTCAAGATCCTTGAGCTCTGCTGAAAAAAAATTATCCTATTGGTGAAAAGGAATTATTAAGTGTTAAAGCTGCCTTTGAAAATTGGCGCCATCTATTAGAAGATACAAAACAACCTATCATAGTCTATACAGACCATAAAAATCTTGAATATCTTTATACTAATAAAACCCTTACGGCTAGACAAGTTAGATGGAACCTATTTTTTAACCGGTTTAACTTCCAATTAATATACAGACCTGGAACTAGAAATAAAAAGGCTGACGCTCTTTCTCGAATTCCTTCTAAAACTTCTATTGATGTTTATCCTCCTAACAAAATAATAGGGATCCTCTCTTCTCTTCAGGATGACTTAAGGAACTTGAATCAAAAGGATCTTGAACTTCCCAAAACACCTAATTTAACAAAAAAGGATGGTATATTTTACTTTAAAAATAGAATTTATATTCCTCCCATTCTTAGGAACAAATTACTCAAAATGGTTCATGATTCACCCCTAGCTGGACATCCTGGAATAAAGAAAACTCTTGAACTAACTTCACGATATTATTGGTGGCCTCGCCAAGATAGAACCATTGAATTATATGTCAAAACTTGTCCTATCTGTCAAAGGTCCAAATCTGAACATAATCAACCTTTTGGATTACTACTTAACTTACCTATTCCAGAAAAACCTTGGCAATCCATTTCTATGGATTTTCTTGTTGACCTTCCTCCATCCCGACAGTTCACCACTATTCTTGTTGTTGTGGACCGCTTCACTAAAATGTCCCATTTCATCTCTTTAAAAAAATTACCCTCCTCCGTAGAATTGTCCAAAGTCTTTATTGATAATATTGTAAAGCTTCATGGTCTTCCAGAAGAAATTATTTCTGATAGGGGGACACAATTTACCTCCAAATTCTGGAAAGAGATGTGTCTCTCTCTTCAAATTCAACGCAAACTCTCTTCTGCCTATCATCCCCAAACTAATGGGCAAACAGAGAGAGTTAATCAATGTTTGGAACAATATCTCCGATGTTATTGTTCATACCTGCAAGATGACTGGACCACTTGGTTACCTATGGCTGAATTTTCTTACAATAATACCATTCATTCTAGTACGAAAATGACTCCTTTTTTCTCCAACTATGGTTTTCATCCGTCCTCATTTCCCATCCCATCTAATTCTTCATCCAATCCCACGGTTACTTCAAAAAATGAATTTATGTCTTCTCTATTCCTTAAATTACGGGAGAATCTTCAACTCGCCCAAAACTACCAGAAAAAGTTTTTTGACCATAATAGAAGAATTCCCCCTCCTTATAAAGTGGGGGATCTTGTCTGGCTCTCTTCAAAAAATATTACCACAAACCGTCCTTCAAAGAAATTGAGCTCTCTTTTTCTTGGTCCTTTTCAAATAACTACAATCATCAATGATAACGTTGTTAAATTAAAACTTCCTCCAAGTTTTAAACTTCATCCAGTATTCCATGTCTCTTTGCTTAAACCACACATCCCTGATCCTTTCCATAGAGAAATAGTAACAACTCCTGAACCTATCATCGTCCAAGGTGAAGAAGAATATGAAATTCATAAGATTTTGGATTCTCGTATCCACCGTGGCTCTTTACAATACCTTATCAGATGGAAAGGTTATGGAGTTGATGAAGATACCTGGGAAGATTCATCTAATGTTCATGCAAAGAGATTAGTTGATGCTTTTCACAAACGCTACCCCTCTAAACCGAAATAAGTGCACCCAGAGGATGCCCCATGAGAAGGGGGTACTGTCAGGTATACCTAACATTCATGCTGCCGCCGGAACCCACTTCCGGGTTCACGGCGCTTAGCTCCGCCCCTTTTTTCTGACGCGGTCTTTCCACGATACTTAGGAAGACCGCGCCAGATTCAAAGTGCTGGATTATTCACTCAGGTGCGGCAGTGAGATCAGCTGCTCTACTCGATGCTACCGGCTCCACTTCTCAGACCTCAGCTTGTAAACGGATTTCTACCTTCTCATCTCTCAGACCTCGGCTTGTAAACGGATTTCTACCTTCTCCTCTCCCAGACCTCGGCTTGTAAACTGATTTCTACCTTCTCCTCTCTCAGACCTCGGCTTGGACAAACGGACTTCCTTTCTCTCACTACTAAACTGCAGTTTGTTAAGAGACTCCTTCCTCTTCCTCCATTTGGGTGAATTAACCCTTCCAGTGCCAGAGTGCTTCTAAGTTAAGTAAATCTTTTGTCAAGGAAAGCAAGTCATATCAATTAATTATAGTATTTAATTTCTTTAAACTCTCTGTTGACAAATAAGGATTGCTGCTAAGGCTAAAACTTCATTATTAAAATTCAAGTTGGAACTAACTTGGCATTTTCCTGATTATTATTTAAAGATACAGTCCACTGATTTCACTCCAATATAATAGGAGGGGAAACTTACTGTTCCTGCCCTCAGAAAATTCTGCAGTTGCATTCCAATTAAAGAGGTATTACACAAAAGCATCACAGCATCCCTTACACACAGCAACACACAATGCACCCCTTACACACACTCAATGCATCCCTTACAGACGCACACACTGCATCCCATACATACACAAACTCATCTTGCAGCCCTTACACATACAAACACAGATTCACACAATGCATTCCTTACACACATCAGGACATCCCCCCACACACACTCCACTCCCTGTGAACAAACTCATTGGTGGAACATGAAGGT